TCAAGCTGACGCAACGTTCAACTCCAGCGTGTGGGCGAAGGGAAACCCGCAATAACCCCCACACAAAACCCACACAAAGTTCTGGACAATTCTATTCCTCGTGAATTGCAAGGCGAGGGCATTGAATCATTAATCGATTTCTAATCGAAATCGCAATTTGAAACAATGCGATTGGCAAATCGCAAAGGCTGCGATTTTTTGCAATTTGAAAAGTGCTCTTACTTTCTTATTGGAATGTTTTATTTGTTATTATTCTAACTTTATTTATTTAACGTAACAATTGTTCAATGTTTGATTGTTCTATTTCAATAATATTTTTTTTTACAAATACATGTTGGAAGCAATCCATATCTTTTAAGTTCTCATCCTTGCATTAGAATATATAGAGCAGTTCATATTTTGATGGTATCACGTGGTAATGCTCCATCACATGTTTTTAATCTATTACACAGTGAATATTGAATTGAAGCTTGACACTAAAAAAATTGAATCGCAAATCAAATCGCAATTATCTGTCAGAACAATCGCAATTAGATATTTCCCCCCAAATCGTTCAGCCCCTACTACCCACGGCAAACACACGAGTGCTCGAGACGCACGGTTTTACTGCGCTGCACTTCCAATCCAGAACCCGTCGTCGGTTCGATCTCCCATCGCGGCAATGGGTGCAAGTTTCTTAAATCCTAACTGCTGAACTAAACTTTTTATTTCACCAGGTTCAAGGCCCACCGAGCTGCATAGCTCTTTTTCAGATGCGACCTCGCTATGACACACGATGATAGCTCAACGAAGTGGCTTATCAACACGTAGCAGCCGACGACTCTTAAACACGTGGATGTTCATTCTAAATGTGGAGGGGGAAAACCGGACAAAAATCCACGCGACCACGGGGGGAGAGGGAGAGAGACACGTAAACTCCAAATATACAGCCGCAGGCATCGTCAGGGTCGGGATCGAACCTACGACTTCCTGCATAACAGGCGAGGTAGTTAACATCTCCTAGCCACCGTGATGATGATGATAGAGAGAGACACGCAAACTCCAAACATACAGCAGCAGGCATCGTCAGGGTCGGGATCGAACCCACGACTTCCTGCATACCAGGCGAGGTAGTTAACATCTCCTAACCACCGTGATGATGATGAGAGAAAGACACGCTAACTCCAAATATACAGCAGGCATCGTCAGGGTCGGGATCAAACCCACGACCTCCTGCATACCAGGCGAGGTAGTTAACATCTCCTAGCCACCGTGATGACAGAGAGAGACACGCAAACTCCAAATATACAGCAGCAGGCATCGTCAGGGTCGGGATCGAACCCACGACTTCCTGCATACCAGGCGAGGTAGTGTCTGTATACACACGAATGACCTCCCACAACAGGGCACTCAAGGAGAGGTACCTTGGCCTACTCTTCCACCGCTTGCCAGGCGCAATGTGAAGAGGTCGCGAGTGCCCACACTTCACCCCACCACTGCACGTGACCTGTGTCGTGGCACGCCGGAGGTAATGGTTGGGAATTTTGTTGTCCTAGTGCCAGAATCAGTCACGTGCGGTTCTTTCACACACCAACCCCCAACCCCCAAGTGATGGTGGCGATACAAGAGCGCAGTAGTGCTGTACGTACTCCACTGTATGTTGAACTTCTTTCGCACCGTACGTGGCCAACCGCGCTCAACGGAGGTGCGGGCGGAGGGGAACTAAAAACACGGTCAGTTCGAAAGAACTGAGCTTTCAATCTGCACGGTGATAACAATAACCGCGGGACAGTACAGTCACGTGTGAGTGTGTGTGTGGTATGCATGAGGGGAGCGGTGGTGTAATGGTTAGCGCTACGAATCTGGCCACCCGGGTTCGATTCCCGCTCACGGCCAACACCGGTGACGATTATCTGAACCGGTCCTGGGCCTCCCCTAGGTCGACTCGGCATCAAATGAGTACCTGGTGCGATGTGTCAACATCGCCACTAGGGAGACAAAGGCGGCCGGGCGTGGTGCTGGCCACCCACGCCCTCGTGTGCCGTGCCAGCCTTCATAGGTGCTACTCGCTAGCAGCACTTGCCCCTACAGTCTCTGTTAAGGCTATACGGGGGATCTTTGTCTTTGTGGCATGCACGTCCCGGATCACCTTCATGATAATCCAGACGCAACTTGCCTCCCTATCTCTCTCGCTGATGTTGACAAAGTCACGAGTGCCGCAGCAACCACCGCTTTCTCAAATTCAATTCCACCACGCCAACAACCCGTTTGTGTTACCACCCCCTTGTGAGCAGACATTTCATTTCCATTTATTTGGAATAACCCCGTGAGCCATTCGGCTCTTGATTCGGGTGCAACCGCAACAAATAATACAATTACAAGATACATTTAGAATTTACTGGACGCAAATTGCCTCCACTTTCACACTTGTTGAGGCCATCGATGGCCGATTGGCTTTCCACCCCAATAAAACAGCATCAGCAGCATTAGTTTAAGCAAAAACTCAAGTTTGTTTCCTCTACATTCACGAGATAGTTAACATATTTTGTCCATCAGCCGATTGGCTTTCAACTCCAAATCGGTATAAAAGCAGCGTCAGCAGCATTTGTAAGGCAGGAAAAAAACACTCTGGACACAAGTTTCGAACTTCTGCATCTCATCAGCCGAGTCAACCTGTACTCACCCAATACAAGTCTACCGAATGGCCAAATCGTATTGGCAGGAGGACTCCCGCATGCAAAAAACTAATTATATGGGCCTCCAGCCCTATCAAAGGCAAACAGGAATACCGTATCTTCTTGGTTCTTTCGGTAAAGTCACGTAGAAGGGAAATCATAAAATAATAAAAATAAAACATAATAAAATAAAATTCTCACTTTTATTATTTCCCTTCTACGTGACTTTACCGAAAGAACCAAGAAGATGAATCCTTGCAGTCACGAAAGCTTTAAATCGAAAGGAATACCGTACACACAAATGAGTGAAATATTTTTTTATCATAAACATCTGACATCCGTCAGCAAATTGCAAAGACGCCGGGGTTTGTCTGCGTCACCGAGTAGGAGAAATAACTCAACTTACTGGAGTTCAAATCTGCAATCTGTGCCATTTGAGCTATTTAAATCGTTTCCTCCCACCGCCCCCCCCCCCCCCGTTTCGGAAGTACTGTACTTGTGTTTATCGGCCACAGCTTGAGGATTGTTTTGTTTGTAAACGGGATGGCAATTCGTCACGCATTTAGCTCGTACTAAAGTCACTCATGCGACAGCATTTAAAGGACCCAAGCTGCTTGCAGACTACACACCGGTCACCAAACGGTATCACAGTGGCACCATCCGAAAGTCCATCAATCACCACCACATCACTGTATCAGCAGCAACATTACCACCACCAACCTACCGTTACTATCATCATCATCATCACCTCTCCAGCACCGATCTAGGCATCATCATCATCACCAACACGTCCTACAATCACCATCAACCACATCATTGCAGCAGCAGCATCACCACCACCACGTCCTACAATCACCACCACATTATAGCAGCAGCATCACCACCACCACTACTACCATCATCATCATCTCTCCAGCACCAATCTAGGCATATGCATCATCACCACCACGTCCTACAATCACCACCAACCACATCATTGTAGCAGCAGCATCACCACCACCACGTCCTACAATCACCACCACATTATAGCAGCAGCATCACCACCACCACTACTACCATCATCATCATCTCTCCAGCACCAATCTAGGCATATGCATCATCACCACCACGTCCTACAATCACCATCAACCACATCATTGCAGCAGCAGCATCACCACCACCACGTCCTACAATCACCACCACATTATAGCAGCAGCATCACCACCACCACTACTACCATCATCATCATCTCTCCAGCACCAATCTAGGCATATGCATCATCACCACCACGTCCTACAATCACCACCAACCACATCATTGTAGCAGCAGCATCACCACCACGTCCTAGAACCACCAACCACATAATTGTAGCAGCATCACCACCACCACTACTACCATCATCATCTCTAGCAGCATCACCACCACCACTACTACCACCATCATCATCATCTCTCCAGTACCAATCTAGCATCATCACCACCCACCACCACCACGTCCTACAATCACCACCAACCACATAATTGTAGCAGCATCACCACCACCACTACTACCATCATCATCTCTAGCAGCATCACCACCACCACTACTACCACCATCATCATCATCTCTCCAGTACCAATCTAGCAGGCATCATCACCACCCACCACCACCACGTCCTACAATCACCACCAACCACATCATTGTAGCAGCATCAGCATCACCACCACTACTACTACCACCAACCACATCATTGTAGCATCACCACCACCACTACTACTATCATCATCTCTCCAGCACCAATCTATGCATCACCACCAGCCACATCATTGTAGCAGCAGCATCACCACCACCACTACTACCATCATCATCTCTCCAGCACCAATCTATGCATCACCACCAGCCACATCATTGTAGCAGCAGCATCACCACCACCACTACTACTACCATCATCATCATCATCTCTCCAGTACCAATCTAGCAGGCATCACCACCCACCACCACTACCACCACCACGTCCTACAATCACCACCAACCACATCACTGTAGCAGCAGCATCACCACCACTACTACCATCATCATCTCTCCAGCACCAATCTAGCAGGCATCATCACCACCCACCACCACTACCACCAACCACATCATTTTAGCATCACCACCACCACTACTACCATCATCTCTCCAGCACCAATCTATGCATCACCACCAACCACATCATTGTAGCAGCAGCAGCATCATCACCAACACGTCCTACAATCACCACCAACCACATCACTCTAGCAGCATCACCACCACCACCACTACTACCACCATCACCATCATCTCTCCAGCACCAATCTAGCAGGCATCACCACCCACCCACCACCCACCACCACCACGTCTCTCGCTCACCCAGCCGCCGTTCTGCTGGATCCAGTCGCGCAGCTCCTCGTCCAGGTAGTTGGCCATCCACTGCGCGATTCCGTCCACCAGGAAGCCCATCTCCTTGTCGGCGCACTCGGCGCAGAGAGCGGCGCCGAAGGCCAGGAATGCCACCACGCGGCCCCAGTTCACCCCGTCGCGAAACAGCTCTGCGGTCACCTCGGCGAAGCGCTGCTCGGCACAGCCCTGCGACACGTGCAGCTGCTGCGACAGGTCCGAGAAGGAGGCACGGTAGCGGCTCTCGAACTCGTCGCCCGCCGCTCGCAACACGCGGAGCAGCTGAGCCGTGGACTGTGACGACGGCGGAGGAGATGGTGGTGGTGGTGGTGGCGATGGGCCGCTCTGGCCGTAGCCGCGCTGCGTCAGCTTGTATCGGATGAAGTCGTTGACGATCTCGCGGTTGTTGTAAGGGTCCGACATGGTTGTCTCGCTCGCTGGCTCTCTCGCTGTCTCTGTCTGTCTCTCGTCTGCCTGTGTGCGGCTGTCTTGCGCCCCCGCCTCCCTTTCACGCAGACATCGACAAGTTTCCTCCGCCCGCTGCTGCTACTGCCACTGCTGCTGCTACGTAGCTGACGCACACCGACATTGTCTGCAAAAGCCTTGCTGGATGCCACGCGCAGGCTTATATACTACCCCGCCCCTTCCCCCCCCTTCTCAGGGCCACGCCCCTTATCAGGACCACGCCCCTTCCCAGGACCACGCCCCTTCTCAAGGCCACGCCCCTTCTCAGGACCACGCCCCTTCTCAAGGCCACGCCCCTTCTCAGGACCACGCCCCTTCTCAAGGCCACGCCCCTTCTCAAGACCACGCCCCTTCTCAAGACCACGCCCCTTCTCAGGACCACGCCCCTTCTCAGGACCACGCCCCTTCTCAGGACCACGCCCCTTCTCAAGGCCACGCCCCTTCTCAAGGCCACGCCCCTTCTTAAGACCACGCCCCTTCTCAGGACCACGCCCCTTCTCAGGACCACGCCCCTTCTCAAGACCACGCCCCTTCTCAAGGCCACGCCCCTTCTCAGGACCCAGCCTCCCCCCCCATTCTAGATTTGAAGCTTTCGTGACTGCAAGGATTCATACTCTTAGTTCTTTCGGTAAAGTCACGTAGGTAAAAAAATGAAATTAAAATTAATAAAAAATACAAACAATAAAATCACGACGTTTCGGAGGCAACACAAGCTTCCGTCTTCAGGTGAAACTGTCACAGCAAAAAATCTGTATCAAGTGGAGAGAAGTCCCAAGAGGTACGACCATGTTCGCCACGCTCCCGACAGATAACCACGTCCCGCCATGTAGTAGCCCCCGCCCCTACATTGTTGCCACGCCCTGTCATTATTTAAAGACCCGCCTCGTATTAAATCTCTTCCGATGCATCAGAAACAACAACAGCAACGGCCGTTTCAACCACTGAGTGGCGATGACCGTCACCACGGCTATTGTGCCATGCTAAGGTGCACTCTGAGACCACGTGTAGTGTCGAAGGCTCGCTGGCCGGACGCCACGGGACAAGACCCAGACTGCCATGGGTTGACTGAGATGACTGGCAGATTGCACCACCAAGTGATTTTCCACCCATGCCAAAATGATAATAATAATCAGACAATTCGTTTCCTGCACATAAACGTCACCTACATTAAAAAAAGTTATTCACACAACCCATTTGCCAGACGGCCTGCTGTGATTACATATCAGCAGCATTGCTTCAGCACAAGCAAAGTGTCTCATCATCAGCGGAGTCATCTTCTTGGTTCTTTCGGTAAAGTCACGTAGAAGGGAAGTAATAAAATAATAAAAATAAAACATAATCTACTTCCCTTCTACGTGACTTTACCGAAAGAACCAAGAAGATTAATCCCTGCAGTCACGAAAGCTTTAAATCGAAATTCATCAGCGGAGTGTCAGGCTTGCCTGAATTATAGCTGATACAATAACATGGCGCCGTATCCTTTAGCTATTAGTCCTCCCATCTCACCTGCACGTGTGTGGTAACATCGTATCTCTCCAAATGTTATCGTTACATTGTTTATGGGGAAAGAGTTTGCGCTTTAACGAGTGTTTATAGCACGCCAAGAGCGGCCATAACGACACCCATTCAGTTAAACACGGAGTAGGGTTTTCGCTACCAATATTATCCATATCACGGGACCTTTTTCCCAGTAATTAAAGAATGAAAATGAGAATAGGTTTTAGCCCTTTCTGGCAATTAAACAGGCAGGTGTTAAGATGTCCAAACGTCAACCAGAAGCCATGCTTGTGGTGAACATGCAAACAAAAACACGTGATGTATGCATTGTCTTTGAAACGAATTGTCCTACACCAGAGACAGCCTTCTTTAGGGCCCGTTCTCACCAGGGTCAGACCAGAGAATGCCCCAAGACGAACAGTACAAAGACAATGCTTTGTAATGCATGTTCACCACAAGTATGTGTGGTGAATGCAGACTTCATTCCTTGCAAAAAGTAGCTATTTGGGGTTTGACCATCTAAGCAGAAAGGGTAAAACCTATTCTTATTTTTCATTATTTGATACTGGCACAAAAGTCCCATGATAGAGCTGCTCACCCCGACCTATGAATGCTCTGATAGTGCATTGTCTTTGTACTTTTATTCTTATTTTACTTTTATTAATTTTAATATAAAAACATGTTTTACCTTAATTAATTTTAATTTTTTACCTACGTGACTTTTCCGAAAAAAACCTAAGAATATGAATCCTTGCAGTCACGAAAGCTTCAAATCTAGAATGTCTTTGTACTGTTCGACTTCTGGTGGTCTGTGGGTTGACACTGGTGAGACTAGGCCATAAAGAAGATTGTCTCTAGTGTAGGCCAATCAGTTTCGAAGACAATGCATATACAGGTAGTCCCCGACTTACGATGGAGATGCGTTACGACGACCCAGGAGTCTTAAAGAATGGTGATAATTTAGCAAAACAGAGCAATTTACAGTACCGTACTGTTCAAGTTCAAGTTCATTTATTAGGTATAGCCCTGTGAGCCATTCGGCTCTTGAATCGGGTGCAACCGCAACAAACAAAAAACAAAAACATGAACAAAAAACATCTTAAAGTGAATATGTGACTAAGTGCAAACAGAAAATCCAAGAAAAGACAGCAAAATATTGCAGAAAAAAACACCGTACACCAACGCTGTGTGCAAAAATCCCAGTGGGATGCAAGTCAAACAACAACAACCACAAGACAACTTAGATTAAACTATATGCATACAGGACATCCCGGCAGCGTCCCAACGTACAGTATCGTACCTCGTACGCTGCTGCGTTTGCCTGCCGCGCGAAATGTAAAATATTTAACAATTTTGTCGTATCGCTATCAGCATCGTAAGTCGGATCATCGTAAGTCGGGGACTATCTGTATTATCAGAGCATGTTTGTTTGCATGCTCACCGTAAATATGCATGGTTAAATGTCGATTTAAAGCTTTCGTGACTGCAGGGATTCATCTTCTTGGTTCTTTCGATAAAGTCACGTAGAAGGGAAATAATAAAATAATAAAAATTAAACATAATAAAAAATTATATTAAATTATGTTTTTTTATTATGTTTTATTTTTATTATTTCCCTTCTACGTGACTTTACCGAAATAACCAATAATATGCATGGTTAATGCAGCACATGATTCCTTGCAGAAAGGGTAAAACCAATTCTCAGTTTTCAACATTATCCACAATCGAGGTTTTAGGTTAACGCTTGTGTCAATCGACTGCTGGATGAGAACCTCCCTACGGCCGTGACGGTCAATGCGTGTAAGGGGCCGTCCATAAATGACGTCACGCACCTATGGGGGGGGTCAGACATTTGTGACGATGTGTGACGATGGGGGGGGGGGTGTGAGAAATATGACGTCACATCAAAATGCGCAACTTTAAATAAATATAGACAACACGTTCTACTTAAGTAAATAGACTTTTAATAAATGTCTTCTCCTATAACATCAGAGTGCAGCGCCACATTAAATACGCACTACAATGACAATAGTTTAAAGCGATTTGAAGCATGTTTTTTATTTGGGGAGGGGGGCAGAGCTTTGGTCATATTTGAGAGGGGGAGGTCTGACTTTTTGTGACGCCGTGTGACGAAGGGGGGGGAGTCAAAAATCGTCCAAAATCGCGTGACGTCATTTATGGACGGCCCCTAAGTTGTTGTCAGAACATCGTTGTGCATTGCAAGAGCATCGCTTGGCGTGGTTACACTGCCCTCTGCTGACTACGCAGCCACACAGGATGAAGCTGTGTGTCCCGGTATCTGTAACAGGGATTAAATGAATCCGCGAAAGAATTCGTGATAAATTATGTTAATTGTTAGAAGGAAGCCAATCAGCGTCAAGAGGAGGCCAAATCCACAACAGAACTATTGATACATCTTCTTGGTTCTTTCGGTAAAGTGACGTAGAATGGAAATAATAAAGTAATAAAAATAAACATAATAATTTTTTCCATTCTACGTGAATTCATCGAAAGAACCAAGAAGATGAATCCCTGCAGTCACGAAAGCTTTAAATCGAAATTTAACTATTGATAAATTATGTTAATTGTTGAAGGAAGCCATTCAGCGTCAAGCGGCCGAACCCAGGACATAATGAATGATAAATTATGTTAATTGTTGAAGAAATCCAATCAGCGTCAAGAGGTAGCCTCACCCACAACATTAATAATAAATTACGTTAATTCTTGAAGGAAGCCAATTATCGTCAAGGGGCGGCCTAACCCGCGTCAGAACTATTGAAACATTATATTAATTGTACAAGGAAGCCAATCAGCGTCAAGCGGCGGCCAAACCCACGACAAAATAAATAATAAATTATGTTAATTGTTGAAGGAAGCCAATCAGCGTGAAGAGGCGGCCTAACCCACGACAGAATTATTGATAAATTATGTTAATGCTGAAGGAAAACAATCAACGTCAAGAGTCGGCCTCACTCGCGTCGGAATGAATGATAAATTATGTTAATTGTAGAAGGAAGCCAATCAGCGTCAAGGGGCGGCCTAACCCGCGTCAGAACTATTGATACATTATGTTAATTTTTCGTCTTGGTTCTTTCGGTAAAGTCACGTAGAATGGAAACAACAACATAATAAAAATAAACATAATAAAATAAAATGTATTTTTATTATTTTATTATTTTGTTATTTCCATTCTACGTGACTTTACCGAAAGAACCAAGAAGATGAATCCCTGCAGTCACGAAAGCTTTAAATCGAAAATTATGTTAATTGTTGAAGGAAGCCAATCAGCGTCAAGGGGCGACCTAACCCACGACAAAATTAATAAAAAATTATGTTAATTGTAGAAGGAACCCAATCAGCGTCAAGAATAAGCCTCACTCGCGTCGGAATGAATAATAAATTATGTTAATTGTAGAAGGAAGCCAATCAGCGTCAAGAGTCGGCCTCACTCGCGTCGGAATGAATAATTAATTATGTTAATTGTTGAAGGGAGCCAATCAGCGTCAAGGGGCGGCCTCACCCACGACAGAATTAATAATAAATTATGTTAATTGTTGAAGGAAGCCAATCAGCGTCAAGAATCAGCCTCACTCGCGTCGGAATGAATGATAAATTATGTTAATTGTTGAAGGG